TTTTCTTTTCTTCTTAATTCCCTTGTGAGTTGCATCCACCAGGTCTTTACATGGTAGCAGTTGAAAGACAGATGCAGAATAGAGAAAAAATGATGGCTGAGGCATTGCGGGCTTCTGAATCTGGGGCAGAGGGAGGGGAATAAATCTGATTTTATCTATACATTGCTCATGCTGTTTACGTTGAGTGCTCTTTTTCGTGTTATCACTAGCATGCAGATTTTTCTTACGCTGTTGTATTTGATCTTTGAACTTTGCTTGGCGTATCACGTGCATGTGAATTGATTCAGTAATAAGTTATAGCAACCCATGGATTCTTTTTTATTGCTTTGTACAGAATGTGAGTTCTCAAATGCTATTCTTCTACCATTGTTGCAAAGCAAGATTGTTTGTACACACTGCTAGTGTAGTTTGAAGCGAAATGTGATCTCAAGGCACCAGAAAATATGATTTACTAGCCAAACTATGCAATAAACCTTTGTAAGATATCAAGCATCAGTTTGAAAATGACGTAGATAGGCAAGCAAAAGATGTAAGTGTGCTGATGCTATTATCTGGAAAATGTTAAATTCACTAGTTTTATAAATCAGGGATAACTAGTATAACACCCATGTATTACATGGAGACGGTGTCTCATCCCGTCATAAAAGTGGGATGAATATGCGGACAAATCAAATCCAAGATCGTCCGGACCGCGCCCATCCCTACCATAAATAATCAACATATTTATAGATAATCCAAACTTATTCAAGCCTAATAACGAAGCATGTAATTTTGCCACATAGGATCCCGAAGCATGCAAGCCTGCCACATAGGCTCAACACGTTCTCAATTAATATATAAGGGGGGATTACAAAAGCTGCAGCTGAGTTTGGAGACAGTTGAGTTTGACTGAAATAAAAATATATTGAGAATTTTCTCTTGATTTTCTTAATCATTTACGCTTTTGCTACGTCACTTGTTGAACCAAAACAATTTGTATCCTGAGTTAAAAGTTTACTCCTGCATGCTGCAGCTTTGTGCCCACAATAGGCCAAGCTACAAATAAACACAAATACAGATTATAGAATGATGATGTATCTTGTCCAAGAAATTAGTGCAATCCAGAAATAGAGATTAGATCCTACATGTTTCATGTTAAAAAATACAACTGCTATTGAACATAAAATGTTGGCAATTTTAGATTATGGTATTGCATATTAGAAGACCAATTTCGAAAGGTAATTATTCATACTAAAAAGATCAATGCATCAAATATTGTTACAGATCGTGCTTGATAGTTAAAACGCATTTGCCTTGTACCTTAGAAATGGGAAAAATAATCAAATGTAGTATATTTTTCATCCAAAAAGGTTTTCCTCCCTCTTCCTCTCTGCATTTTTTCTCTTTACCCTCTTTCCAAACAATTGCTTTTCAAGTCTCAGACACCAAAAATAAAAGGTCTACATTATTATAACTTCCAAAATTGAAATCAAAGAACCAAACCTTTGCGAAACACTGAATTCGTTTACTAGTACTCCAAATACAAAAGGGAACCAGAAAACCATAAAAAATAAAATAAATAAAATGCATAATAATAGCACCATAACAGAAAACCCTAAGAGTCAGTGTCCACGAGATTTTTCTTCGAGTCATCATCATCACCAATCAAGTCCTGCTCGCTAAAGAGATCCTCTTGAATTGGAATTTCATCTATCTTTTGGGACAATATAACATCATCAATAGCTTTTCTTGCGGCTAATGCTTTATCATCATCAGTAGCATCATCTTTCCCTTCTCCTTCACTGGGCTCCTCAGTTATAACATCGTCCTCTTGCTTTGGTGGGGGCACGAAAAAGGGTATTTTACCCCTTTGCCAATCGTGGAGAATCATCTTTGCAGCAGTCATGTAGTCAGGCTCACCACCCTATGACCAGAAATAAATGACATTTTCAGTGTTTACACTTTCCAGAATTATTGTTTTTCTTTTTATTTTTTGCAAGCCCAGCTTAGGTATTTTTAGTTACCAGCCTACTGATATTTAGAAGAATAGACGAATAAGTAGAGCATTAGATTACCTTCAGAAGTTTCCCAGTCGACTTGCATAGCTGAACGAGGAAATCATTTTCATCCTCCCTGAAGACAAATGAACAAGGTTAACTACGGGCCCAAATGCAGTGGGTGAAAAGATGCAAAATAGTATGGCTTGGAAAAGCATCAGACAACTCATATGTTTCCAGCAGATCAGTTTGATTACCACAATTTTCCCACTGGTGTGATTTTTCATACCGGTACTAGGCAATTAGTAATAATAACATAACTACTGTATAATAAGCAAAATGTGATAAGATGTGATTGAGCAACAAAACCTAAACCAATATGCTCAGCAGTAAAAATGAAAAGCTCACCACTCGCTAATCTTATAAGCTCTCAACAGGTCCTTCCGTTTGACGCGTTTCAGAACTTCACCAATATGCTCAGCAGCATCATGTAAATTTGTCACTCGAACCTGGGAAAAATAGTTGATTAATATTTCAGAAAGGGATCAAATGGTGAAGGGGACTACTGTTAAACAAAATTTGGATACGGTAACATTTCCCAAGTTTACTTTTCGAAAAACATAATTGTTTAACAACATAAGATGTATAATGCAAATCCTCCAATCAACATCAGCAGCAACCATTGATCGTAAGCAAGTCCCTAAGACAAGGATCAAGTAAGCAATTTAAACATGACCGATGAGAATTACATACCACTCCCTTCAAGACAATATCGGTTTCAGTGTCCTTGTTTTGATAAACAACCCCAGGGCAATCAATCAGAAAGATCCTCTTTGTGAGTGTTATGTATTGCCACACTTTGGTCTCCCCAGGAATAGGAGCAACTTTGCAGACCTATTCATAACAAGCATTTTGTAAGATGAAATCGTCAACTCAAAACGCACAATTCAATTAATAAAGTAAGAATTGAGTATTAATTATCTTATATCCTTTGAATATCTCAAAAAATGGAAAGAGACGTTTCTCAAAAGATAAAGGCAGGCATTGACAATTTGGCACGAGCTCATTGGATACACTGAGCATGTGAACCGTGTGAGGGGAAACAAATCAAGTTTTTTTCCATCAACATTTAAATGCACAGTAAAGATCGTGAATCTCAATCTGGTAATGGGATTTGTAAGCATGATAATCGAACATATCATTCAAACTTCAATATCTAACAAATCATGTTGTCCTTAGTCAAGTTCCTCCCATCAACATATAAATTCCATCAACGTTTAAATGCACAGTAAAGACCACGAACGTCAATCCGTTAATAGGAATTGCCAAGAGTGAGATCCAAACATATCATTCAAACCTCAATATCTAAAAAACCATGTCATCCTTTCTGGTTGAGTAGTTCAGGATAAGCAACAAAGCTACAATTCAAGGGCCAATAGCACGTGACTAATTACACATAAGGCAAACATTTTTCTACAATCAGACATGCCTTTCTACTGCTAAAAAAGGATGACTCAATGCTGCCACTACTTGTCTGTAAAGGACATTAAAAAACTTCCATTGAAACTTTTTAGTAATCTATAGCACACGAGGGTACCAAGTCACCACATTTTCCAGACTGTAGTTCCTTGTAGAATAATCGTCTAGAAAATTCAAAGAATCAAAGAATAGAATATCAAAATCGTGTTTTTTCGGCTTATTTTACAAAATCAAACAGTTTACTAATAATCGTGTTTTTTCTGCTTATTTTACAAAATCAAACAGTTTAGTAATCCAGAAAGAAAAATTAAAGATAACTTGAAATCAGAAGATTCAACTATAAAGAGTCTTACATTCTTCGTACGTAAAGTATTGATAACTGACGATTTCCCAACATTTGGATATCCAACAAATCCCACAGATATAGCTTGCTTGTCACTTTTCAGACGGGAAAATTGTCTTAATACTGAGAGAAGAGAACCCTAGAAACAACAAAAAAGGTAAATGAATCTTCGCGCAAACAACATTAAAAGCCAGAAATAGTCGAGATACTTCTTCCAAACAGAAACTACAGAAAAAAAATAATGACAGTAAAATGACATTTGATGGCTTCCTACAAAGTTTTCCTCCAAAGAGAAGATGAATCATGCTCCTCTACTTGTTTACCAGTCACTTCAGTTAACAATATCAAATTGCGTACCTTTCCAAATGATTTATTTATGCTTGCATGGAAAGCAAGGGCAGGGTATTCCTTCGACAGAATTCTAAGCCATCCTTTTGTTGCCCAAGCTGGAACCAGATCACACTGCCGAGAGGCAGTCAGGAAATGATATCAACAAAAGACAGAGGATTAGAGGAAGTGTCTTTGCTATAAAGCTGAAACAAATATTGCGCTAAAACATATACAAATATAAGCTACTGACCTTGTTTAATAGAAGGATCATGTGCTTATGCTTGCAGTGCTCCTTCAGATGCCTTTCCAAATGGTAACATCTTGTACCTTGGGGATCCCTGGCATCTAAAACCTGCCATTAACAAAAACATGCTAGTGACCAAGAAATAAAAAAAAATATATATATATATATAATAATAAATAAATATTCAAAAATGTCACATCAAGTCAGAAATTAAATTCTTTTAAACATGGAAAAACAAAGAACACTAATTCGCTTCCGTTGGAGACTATCAAACTCCAGACTAACAAATGCATATATCCAAATGTAAAATATCCTATAGTTAAATTATAGCATGAATACATTACTTCCTAATTAAGACAAAAACAAATGTTCTGAACTTCTTATAGAAACTTCTCATGAAACATCTTGATCTGTTAGTATCCACCACCATTGAATATGTTTTAAAGAATATATATATATATATATATAACTTCGCAGACCTGTCAAATCATTTAGAATTGACATTCGACAACAATAGATATCGCGTTCTGGTCGCCAAAATATACCTGCACAACAACATCTGAAGAATCTATCACTTTGTAAAGCTCTCCCCATATGCGCTTACTTTGCCCTTTTTCAAACATTGTGTGCCGAACAAGATCTCTGAAGCCATCTTCACCTCCTTCAGCAGACGTACTAGCACCATGTTTCTCTTCAAAAGAATCTGCAACTTCATTAGTTAATCATGTATTCTAAATTGCACAAAAGAATTGTGAAGTTTCTCAGGTAACCCAAAAAATATGTGCCAATCATCCCAAAGTCAGAAAAAGACAATATCCAATATATAATGACACCAGAAAAGTACTACTCACCTTGAGAACCATCAGCTCTCTTAACTAATGATTCATAATCAGATGCCAGCAGTTTCGGTCTTTTTCTCTTTGTCTTAGGACCAAAAGCATCGGAGAAAGGCTCTGTGTCGAGGAGATGGACTCTTGCTTGCTTAGAACGCATTTCAAAAGAAAACAATATAATTAATCAGCAAACAATGTGCAAGAAAGACATATCATTATTAGTTACTCCAGAGATATACATAACAGATACACTTGTGGGTTTCAAACCTTTTGATGATCATTCAAGAGGGACATGGGTAACTTCCTTTCCTTCAAAATCACATTGTAACTGCTTGACATACGATTTTGAAGCTCCTCCCTGAAACACTCTAGCTGTTTCTGATTAACAACACGAGTGTTGCCTGTGAAGTAAATAAACAAGTTTGAACTCAGTTTCTAATCTACCCAACCGGAAATGAGACATGAGTTTCTAGCATAGCACGTTAAACTACAGATAATCTGGACAATAATTACAGCCAGTCTTGGGTAAATGATTAAAGTATTTAACAGCTTAATGAATGAAAAATGAACGAACAACAAAATGATGACACTTTAAAAAGGTAGAATTGAATGCTAAACAACTAAACAAGACCTTCCCAGAACTACAATTCAACTGTTAACAAGTAATTGAATAAAAAAGCCACTGAATATACAATCACAATTCACTTTATGTTCATGGTGTATAAAATCTTAAGAAGTCTATCTGCAACCATATATAGTTTCAGCTAAGACCAGAAATAGGCCAATTCTCTACAGATAGCAAACTTAAAAAACTGGAGACGCCTTATCATCGCAGCTCACCATCATAATGTTTTTACTCTTGCTATACCTTAATTGGACTAACGATTTTTTTTCTCTTTTTTTTTTTTTTTTTGCNTTTTTTGTTTGTTGCAAAGGTGCCTGAAAATAAATCCAGTTCAACAAGATTGGCATAATCTAGCTGGACGGCCATGGATGATGCCGAGAAAAGGAAATGAAACGAAGACAACAGTTAGATGACGCACCAAACCAGCGGCGATCAGGCATAATCCGAGTGGACGGCAGTTCCTTCGACTGCAAGTCGTGCTTCAGGATTTTGCCCTTGGCGTCGCGCGTCGGGCGCGTCTGGTACATCTTTAGCCGCCGCACCGTGGCGGCGCTCCGCCCATTACTGGATTTAGATTTTCCATTGCTCCGATTGACATCCAGCGAGTGCTTCGGCTTGCCGGAAACATTCACCGACCTCTCCTTCTTCTTCCCCATTTTCCTCTGCCTGCTGGTTCTGATTCCTAGGGTTTTGGAAAAGGGCGTGTTTGCTCGATTTGGGGTGTTTTAATTGGGTTGTTGCTTCTTTGGGCTGGGCCTTCATGCGATATCCAATGCTGACTGAGCAAGCAAATTGGATTGGATAAATAGATCTCTCTTTTGGGCCTGGGCTGCTAATCTCCCTTATGTATAATTTCAGAATTGAGCCTAAGTATCCGCATCTTACATGGCCAAATATTATGTTTTGTAATATAGTTTGAATAAAATTATCAATTTTTTATAACAAATAACTTAGGTTCGGATTACCATATATATACATATATTTTAAATCATTCAATATAAATCTATTTATTGTGTTCTTTCTATAATGTGCATATAATTTTATTTCCCAAATTGTGTGCTTTGTTCATATTATTCCTTTATGTGTTTTAAAAAAATATTTTAAAAATTAATGATGTATATAAATTATTTTTCACAATTTAAAAATAATATTTTTATTTCACTTAGTTATTTATTATAAATTGTTATCTATTGTTTTTTATTTATTTTTTCCAACTTAACAATATATATATATATATATATATATATATTTTATTTTTTATTGTACATTTAATTATTTTATTAACCACCCATTTAGTACACGGGTATTGTACTAGTCAATACATTAAAAATGAAACTAAGTAGTTGAGCTATTAATTGGTGAAAAAAAAAATAATCCTATGACACATGACGTGGATGTCACCCGCGTCGATTGTCAAACAGGGTTTCAAAACATTGATTTTAAAAAATAGAAATAAAATTTATTTAAAATATGTTGTTTAAAAAATTACACACACAGTTATGATTGACAAGCGAAAAGAAAGAGAACAATTCCATAAAATGATTTTTAATACTTTTACATGTCTAAGCTGGCCCGACCGCAAAGAATCAAGAGATCTTTACCGGTGTTGACTTGGATCTCAGATGATGGAATAGGCCGATCATGTCGCTAGCAATCAGGCAGGGAAACTGTGATCGGCGCTCCGGTTGGGTTCCTAAGACAAACCGGAGAACAATTTGATTGGATAGAAAATACTAGTAATATATATTGTTGAAGATTGTATTTGTTTAAAATATGTCTCCTCCTCCTAGTATGTGTGTCGTCATTGTATTGTGTAGGGTGGTTAAATGAAACGAGTTGTTCGTGAGCTCTACTCTTTAGGGCTCGAGCTTGGCTTGGTTCGTTTGGTAAACGAGTTGAACTCCAGCTCATATAGAGCTCGTTTATTAACGAGTTGCGTTGGGCTTGGCTCGATAAAGCTAAAATATTTCTTCATATAGTCTTCTATAGTTCTTCTCGTTAAAACTCAAGTTCAACTCACTAATATTGATAAACGAGTCGACTCGAGCTCCAACTCAAGCAACATGTGATCGAGCTCGGCTCGACTCGATTCATTTACACCCTATGTATGTGGTATTGGATGTGAGGGATGTGGGGCTCACCCCTCCTAATACGTATTGTCCATGATTCAGATTTGTGTCTGTCATTTAGAAATTATGACCAAAAAATGCGATTATTAGATAATATGGTTAATCCGCTCAATGACTCCGTGTTCAATGACTTGATATCTTATCTTTTTACTTATTTCTACATTTTTGGTGCATCATTTTTTCCATATCATGTACAGTAACATAGATTCGAACTGATAGCAAAGACATACATGGTAATGTTATAATATAAACATTCAACTTATCAACATTTTCCAGGCAGCTTCTTCTATCTCCATCATTTTCATTAAAAATTGAAGTTATGAGAAATTATTTGCATCCAAAGTCGAAGCATTGATTTTGCGCCGAGTGAAACAACATCGTGTATGGTGGACCAACACTCTTTAGTTGAAACATTCAAAGTCTTTGTCAGTAAGGTACTTATTGGCAGAAGGAAGTTGGTAAAAGAAAAAAATAAAAATAAAAATTCAGGCACCTAATAAAATAGTTTTTTGTCAACTCGTCACTTTACTCTTTAATAACTGTGTGTCAAGTGTTACATAATTGGCTAGTACATGATATTGTCGACGTGGCTTATTCCCGTCGAGTACCACTTTCGTGAGCTTTAGGCTTTGTCCTCTTTTATTGNGTTAGGATGAATGAGAGAAGTAATGCCCAATTTAATGTAAAACACAAGTTAAAGTGAAAATAATAATATTACATTTATTGTCTCGGTTATCTGATCTTTAATAAACATGTTCGGATTTGCAATTGAAAGACTTCTTTTTTATTCTGCTATAACTTTACTCGATTTTACTAACTAATTCTCAAATCACTAAATAAATTCGATAGTTATAATTGGAATCACTTAAACTGATGAATGTATCTATTTCAAATATATAAAAAAAGGTATAAATGTTTATACTAAGTCCTTTGGTGATGCAATGATATACATATAACTGGACTTATGAATTCACCTACTATAAAATATAAATAAATATTGGAATTAATTAAATAACAAATATATAACCTATAAACTTTCTTTTAACTTGTTTGTTTGTGTATAGAAAATCCTTAAAAATATAGTTTGACACCAATATTTGAACAATAATAAATTGGATTGTATTGTGACTTTCCCTTTACCCACTCTACTAAGTCATCATCACGAAGCCTTTATTTCTTCATAAACATATATATTTAAAATTTAAATCATCCTCGTTTTCGTGGTCATTTCCATTTCGATCCTGTGAGTTCTCTTTGTCATTGCCCCCATTTTGTTAGCTTCATTATTTTGATCGAATTCAAGACTCGAAAAATTGAATCTTGCTTTGATAAATCAGTGATTAGCTCCGGTTCCCTGATTCTGATGATTTATTTCTACTCACTCCACAAATCATCGCTTAATTTCTCGTCCAAGCCCCAATTCCTCTACTCGATTTCATCCGATTTTTACTTTTTAGGTATTAATTGCTTGAATCGTCTCCGTTTTCGCCTCAAAATCTGACACCCGCGCACACAATCTCATTTTCCCCCAATTTCATTTTCATAGAGCTGGGCCGTTCTTTGTTGTTCTGTTTGTTGAGCTCGATTTGCATTGTGAAAAATGGGCGATCGCTCGCAGCCAAGCTCAATGGACGACCTGCCTATCCACTTGGTTCTCGAAATATTGTCCTCGGGCCGCTTGAGCCCGGTGGATTTAGCTTGTGTGGAGCTGACTTCACGGACCTTTTGGGAGGGTCACGAGCTGTTTCCTCAAAAGTTTCGATCTTTAGTTGATTTTGCGGCCTTCAAGCTTTGCGGGTCCCACCCAATTTATTCTTCGCTTCGGGATGGTGCCCGGGATGAACTTTTCAATCGATGTAATGGGAATTGGAAGCGGGTGTTGAGGTTCTTGCAATCCTTGGAACAGTCTTCTCACATGGCCGAAACCTCTTCCGGCAAGGTATTGTTTCATGATTCATTATGAGTTTTGCAGTTTCAGTTTGATGTTTGTTACGTGTGTCGATGATGCGTGGGATAGGCTATGCTTGGTAAACTTAGCTGATAAGCTAGCTATCGATAAGTTAGCTAGTCTGGTAGCTTATAAGTGAATTTCGAGCTCATAGGTGATAGCTTATGACTTGTGTCGGTGTGCGGGATTTAGGCTAGGTTCGGTAGACCTAGCTGATAAGCTAATAAATAGTTGATAAGTTACATGATAGCTTATAAGTGAATTTCGAGTTTATAGTTGATAGTTTATGACTTATGGCATAAAAGCTAGTTTATATGATCAAAGTATTTGGTAAAATTAGTTGATAAGCTAGTTGTTGAAAAGCTACCCGAGGAAGCTTTGAGATAAGCTCGAGCTTTTTATAAAAGCTCGTCCTACCACACCAAGGTTATTTAAATACAAGAAGCTTATAAGCTAACCAAATAAGCTTATAAGTTAGCTTATGGTGTTTACCAAACACACTTTTAAGATATGTTTCGGTCACTAGTGATTTTTTGTTAGTGTGCTTGTTGGTGGCTGAAAGAGTAATAGATTGAAAGTTATGATGTCATGAGTTATGTTAGTTTCTATGTTCTGATAGCTGACAGTAGCTCAATAAACAGCTTTTGTTAGGTTCCGTACGGGATTGAGAGTGAATTTTAACATCCAACTCTATAAGTAAATGGTACGGAATGAAGACACTCTAACTTATACATATATTAGTAATCAAGGCTTTTGTTTTACCATAAAACTTGAGGTGTATATGGCTGTAATCTATCGTTGTAATTAATCCCAAGAATTCTCTGCAGATGCAGATTAAAAGTGGAAGATATCACACACTACTGATCAATGACTCAGGAGTGTACTCGTGTGGATCGAGCTTATGTGGTGTCCTTGGTCATGGTCCAGAAACAACACAGTGTGTGGAATTTACGCCTATAAGTTTCCCTTACCGCACAAATGTGATTCACATCTCGGCCTCCCACAACCATGCAGCCTTTGTTACGCAGTCTGGAGAGGTTTGTCATGCTTTGCTGCATTTTCTCCCGTGCCGTTATCTTTTTCATTTTAGCTACTTCCCAGTAATATACATAATTTGAGGCTTCATGTGAATATATTTGTAGTTTATTGGTCGGCTTGAAATGAATGCTAATGCTTTGTAGTTTGTAGTCACTTGTGCTTATGTGTAGATAGAGTAACTATTTATATGTATTTAGCTTAAATAATCTTGCTCCATACGAATTCTCAAACAATTTGTCATAGATTAATCCACTAGCGGAACCTGTTGAATCAATTGTTGAACTCTCGTTTATTCCAAACTACGCGAATGCTAAATAATCTTGCTCCATACGAATTCTCAAACAATTTGTCATAGATTAATACACTAGCGGAACCTGTTGAATCAATTGTTGAACTCTCGTTTATTCCAAACTACGCGAATACTAAATGCTAATAACATGCTACGAATTTGAATCTTTTAATTTGGCCATACAGGTGTTCATATGTGGAGATAATTCATCCTTCTGTTGTGGCCATCGAGATACGGCCCGTCCTATAACAGTCTTTTAGGCTGATTTTTTTTTTTTTTTTGGANTTTTTTTTTTTTTTTTGGAATTGATCTAGCAACAACATTATTATTTCCGGAATTGATTTAGCAACAACGTTTTGAATGCTAAATGCTAATATGTATAATTTGAGGCTTTATGCGAATATGTTGTATAACTGCTAGTATGCTGTTCTTATGGAAATTTGTAGTTTATTAGTCAGCTGCAAATGAATGCTAATGCTTTGTAGTCACTTGTGATGTGCAAATAGAGTAACTGTTTATATGTATTTAGCTTAAATAATCTTGCGACATGTGGATTATTAAACAATTTGTCCAAGAATAATCCACTAGCGGAACATGTTGAATCAATTGTCGAACTCTCATTTATTCCAAACTACGCGTTGGGGATGTTATGCCAAATGCTAAATGCTAATGACATGCTACGATTCTATAATTACATATTTTGAAACTTTTAATTTGGCCTTACAGGTGTTCACATGTGGAGATAATTCATCCTTCTGTTGTGGCCATAGAGATACAGGCCGTCCTATATTCCGGCCGAAGCTCGTTGAAGCTCTCAAGGGTATTCCTTGCAAACAGGTAATCATTATTCGATATCATTTACTTTTTTTTTTTTTTTATTCCAAATAAACTCATGAAAAAATGCCACTGGGCCCAAAAATATCGGGTACAATCCCATCTCTTCAGGTAGCTTCAGGCCTGAGCTTCACCATGTTCCTCACGGCCCAAGGCCACGTCTACACATGCGGGCTCAACACGCATGGCCAGCTGGGCCACGGTGAGTCCACACACGATCAACCGACCCCTCAAAGAGTGGAGCTCTTAGAATCTATTGTCCAGATAGCCGCGGGCCCCAGCTATGGGCTGGCTGTGTCGAGCGATGGGACCTTATTTTCTTTTGGGTCTGGCACAAATTTCTGTCTTGGCCACGGGGAACAGCACAACGAGCTCCGGCCTCGGCCAGTTATGTGGTTTCGGAGGAAAGGCGTGCATGTGGTGCGTGTATCTGCTGGGGATGAGCATGTGGTGGCCCTCGACTCGAATGGATATGTATGTACCTATTTTATTGTAAATTTTTGGATATTGCTGGAAAGTGGTCTTTGAGAAATTGTAGAAAGTCAACTCGACTCGACTATGTTTTTATTTATGTAATTTTTATTTTTTATTTTTTAAAATTATTGTAGGTGTATACTTGGGGCAAAGGCTATTGTGGTGCGTTGGGGCACGGGGATGAGATTGATAAGACGCTGCCGGAACACCTGACGAGCCTCAGGGGTCAGCTTGCCGTGCAGGTATAATTTGATTTTTTTTCTTTTTCTTCTAAAAGGAAAATGAAGCAAAAATGGCATTTCATATTCTTTCATTTATTTATTGTTGTTTTAATCAGCTCCCTCGTGCAATAGCCGTCTGATTCTTACGATGATATAAGATGTTTTGATTTTGTTTGAATTTTTTGTTTTGGTATGGTTAATTTTGAAAAAAAAAAAAAGTAGTATGGTTAGCTGTTAGTAGAATTTTGTATTTATATTAAAATAATATTTAAAATGGAATAATTAAAATTGCTTTGATGTAAAAGTAGGAGATAGATGATGTGAAGTGATGTTAGTTAAAATTATTCAAGTTGATGAATAGTGAATTGAAGTTGATGTATTGTGTAAGAATGATTAATTGGTATTATTTAATTATATTAACAATATTGAGGATAATGTGGTTGAGTTAATTAAAAAATTGATTGATCAAATGTGATTGAATATTTTTGGGAAAAACTTGTATCCAAGCATGCACGATCTCTTCGACCAGTGTTGTGAAGATCTCACTCGAAGCACTTTTCACTTTACTTTTTTTTGTTCTTTTCCGGCATATTTTCTTACTTATCATACTTTTTCCCATATGTTTTGTTTTCCTAGGTGTGTGCGAGTAAGAGAAAGACTTTTGTCCTAGTGGACAATGGATCGGTTTACGGTTTTGGCTGGATGGGCTTCGGGAGTCTTGGATTTCCAGACAGAGGAGTTTCAGACAAAATCGTGCGGCCTCGAGTCTTGGACAGCTTGAAAAACCACCACATTTCTCAGATTAGCACTGGTTTGTACCATACTGTTGTAGTTACGAATGAGGGACGAGTTTTGGGGTTCGGAGATAATGAAAGGGCACAATTGGGTCATGACACTCTGAGGGGATGTCTTAAGCCAACTGAAATCTTTATTCAAACAAAAGAAATTGATGCTTAAACCTTAGTTTTGTATTTTTCTTGGAATACCTTAACTTATGGCAGGACAATTGTTGATTTTCTTTATAAATTTATTATTCTTTCTCTATTAATTGAGATGTAATTGTGAATTTGTGATTTGTGGGCACTGTTAAGAAATCATGTCGGTATATCTGGCTATCTGCTGTATTATTTGTGAAGAATGTGACCTGAAGATTATTTAAATCTGTGGGCCAATACCCAAAGAGTTGGATTTAACTTGCCAGTTGCTAGGAATGAAACACAATTAGTCCAACTATGATGATTTTTTTTTTTTTTTTTTTGGTTGTTCTTCTTGAAGCACGTTTTATTGGTTTCTTCATGTTAGAAAACAATAAATTATAGTACCACTTTTGTTGAACTGTCCAAAATGGCAGGTAATGACCGTCAAAAGTTTATTAAAACCGGACAATTTTTTTAAGAAAGTCTAATCTTCACAAGAGTCACATTCCATGAAGTAAAACGTTTCATAAAATGCAGCGGGACAGCTAAAATCCACATTAATTAAGACTAAAGTTGATTACAACCTTTCCCAAAGTTGAATTTGTTTGCCAAATATTTTTTGTGTTATCTTTCCAAGTTCCCGAAAGCAATAGAAAGGCCAGGAACATTTTCTCAATTAAGAAGAGAAACAACTTGGAAACATCGAATGGCAAAGATGTAGACACCAGAAATACCTATCTATGCACAATTAATGCATACTTATGATATGACATGCCGTTAAAATGTCATATATTATTTACGTATGATATTTAATTTTGAAAGTACCACACATCTACTTAAAAAGTACTAATGTGTTGTCCAAGCATTAGGGAAAGAATATACCCAAGTTTAAAAAAGCTACAACATTCAAATCCATATCATTGAACAACAAAATCAAACCACCATTCAAAGTCCATAACCAACACTAAAACAGCCCCTCACAAGAACAAAATGCATCAAATAAGAAAAAATTTACATGCTCATCAAACTCACAACATTATCCTTCCATTTGAAACTCCAACCCAAAAAACTACAAAGTACAAAAGAGTTGTATCAACATTCAAACCACATTTTACTCCACACAATCCCTAAACACACCCAAAATGCTAGCAAATGTCACAATCCCAACCAACCCGAACCCCTCGTCGACCACCCACACGTACCTCACCCGACGAGCAATCGCCTGTATCATAACTGCCACCAACGAGCTCCTGGGCCCGCAAACCGTAGCCTCGGCCCGCTTCACCATCTGGCCCAAACACCCCACATAAGGCCCAACCCGGCCCAATGGTGTCGTGGGCGACGCCAGCTCATCATCCGATGAGGAGGAGGAGCAGCTACTATACGGGCCCACGAGGCCCGCAAGCTCCTCCACCGGGCCCAATGAGCAGGCCATGAGGTCTCTGGCCGAAAGGGTAAAAGGGGAAATCTCGCCTATGAATGAACCGGACTCGTCGACCACGGCCACCGAGGTTTTGTCGGTCGAGGATCGGCGGAGTGCATCGAGTGCTGACCTGGCGGACGAGCGGTGGCTCACGGCCGAGTAGTCGCGGCTGATTATGCCTAGGGTTTCGATGGAAAGTGTCGGGATTGGGGAGAAAAGCCCGATTAGGCCGAGGAGGAACCGAACCACGTCTTCTTGAGTCAGCCAGCAGAACTCACGGCTGCCGTGATTGGTCGAAAATAAGGTCGATTTTCCGAGCTGTTGTTTTCTTTGCTTCGGGTTTGTTCGTATGGGGACGACGAGATTTTGGGCGCCGTCTAGGATTAGGTCAATGGCTTCTAGCAAGCTGTTACAGAGCAATGAGAGCAAAAAATGGGCTTCAGATAGAATCAATTGGGTTTTCAAAGATTTTTTTTATGTCAAATTTAATGAGTCTTCTTGTTTTTTTTAGCAAGGAAATGGACGATAGGATTAGATCAATGGCTTTTAGTAAGCTGTTACAGAGCAGTGAGAGCAAGAATTGGGCTTCAGATAGAATCAATTGGGTTTTCAAAGATTGAATTTTTANTAAGGAAAAGGACAACGTGTTGGGCCATTGAAAGACAATTTTGTACCAAATGCAAGAGACAGAACACAAATTATTATGAAATTCACTGTTTTGTCAAGCATTTTAACTAAAATTCAGATCTGTGACATATTGGACCAATATTATATCACTAAAATCCTAAAGTAAAATCAAGAAAACAAGATTCAATCAACATATCAATTATATCAACACACACGAAAAGAATGGCACAATTCACAAACATGGAAAATTAAATTCAAATGGGACTTAATTATGCATTAAAAAAAGGGAACATTTTAGAGAGGGAGGGAATGAAGTACCTTGCAGAGGAGTCCACGTGTCTGACGAGGCCATCGACCGTCGGCAATAAAGCCGTTGCCGGAGACTTCAGAGCTGCCGCCGGCGAGGCCAGATTCTCTTCCCGGCAGAGGTAGAAAACAACATCCGCCGTGCAGATTTTCCCCACGCACACGCAGTCCTTTTCCGGCGAGGCATGGTCGCAGCTCCAGAGGCTGACGGAGTCGTCTCCGGTGGATTTCAGGGCGGCGAGTGCGTCGGCGACGGTGGCGGAGGAGGCGGAGAGGCAGCGGAGCGGCGGCTTGCCAAGGCAAAGGTCGGCCACCTCGTAAGCCAAAAGCTGAGCTGCCATGCAAAGTTAAAAGTTGTTGAAAAATTAAATTAAGTTTTCAACTCCCCCCCTTTTTTCTTGGAGGTGAAATTATTAAGCGGTGAAGGCAAAAGTGAGCGTTTTGAGAAGAAGAAAAGTCAAAGAGTGTAGTGTCTGTGAGTTTTTGTGAGGTATGGGGGATTTATAATGTGGGGGTGGGTTTAGGTTAGCATATGGTGGTACAATGAATGAAGACAAATTCACTTTCTCCTCTACATGTGATACTATCCCTAAAATTGCAGGATTGTTATTACTTATTACTATTAGTCTCCTAAATAAAAAAAGAAAAAAAAAAGGAAAATTGAATTGAATCGGGCAGTGTGAAAATTATTCTGTTTATTAGTTTTGATTCGATTTTTTTATGTGATTATGGTCTGGTGTAATTATTGGTTTTTTGTTTTGGGTTTGGTGAGTTTTTTATTCCGAACAAAATTCAAATGCATAAAAAATTATTTTTGTTTGGATCCATGTATTTGTTGATATGCAGTTCAATTTAAAAATTCATAAATTTTGATCTTTTATTTTTGTTACTCGATGTAATTTTGTACCAAATCGCACTCCCTCAACCATAATAGAACCCTTAAGTGAACTTTATTTGAATGTCTAATCTTGTGAACAAGGATTCTTCCATTTTTAAAGAATATTATTCTGTGATTAAAAAAAAATATTGTTTCAATGTGCAGTTTCGTAACAACATTGATATTTATAAAAAGTGGTCCAAAAGAAATCTTGATTAGCACATCAAGAGATATAGGTACGTACCATGTTGTTGGAGAAAGTACGACGTGAGTGGGTCCCACATCCACGGTGGGATCCACCATATGAGGACTTTTTGACTTTTGTCCTTTCCAGTACGAATTTGCTGTAAACCAATTTTGCGCATTCACACAGCTTTAGCTGTCTCTGTTGTTGGATTTACTATAATATATATAATGCATTTATTAATAATTTATGATGTTTCATACTTCTTTTTACGTATATATATATAATTATATATATCCGTTACAATTTATGATGTCTCACAAGAACTTACGATTTTTTTATGCATATATATATATACAGCGAGGAACTTTGCTTAGGTGACCCAATTAATAATATTATTGAACTAATAAAATGTAAATACAAAGTCCTAAAAGCGTTATAGAGCTCGTAATTATATAAATACATTTCAAAATTCAAAGTTAATATGATATAAAATTATAGTGATTGGTTCCAATGCATCCCATTATTTAAAGTGAGGACGTGAGACTCATTCCTAGCCACAAGATTTAGATCTTGATTTAAATAATAATTCTTTATTTTTATTATTTAATTCTTTATTTTTAATTATTTAAATATTATTATGACAATTGACCGTTGACTCCAACGTTGACCGTTGACTTCCGGCGAAAATCGTTGACTTCCAACGTTGACTGTTGACTTCCGGCCTTGACTTCTGACGTTGACCGTTGACCATTTGTCTTTTGTTATGTTATGTTATTTCTTGTTAGGTTAGTTGTGTTTTGTTGTTAGGTTAGTTGTTTGTTGTTGCTAAGTTAGTTATTTGTAGCTGCTAGGTTAGTTGAGTTTTGTTGCTAGATTAGTTGTCTTAAGTTGCTAGGTTATTTTTTTTCTTGCTGCTAGGTTAGTTGTCTTTTGTTGCTAGGTTAGTTATCTGTAGCTGCTAGGTTAGTTGTGTTTTGTTGTCTTTTGTTGCTAGGTTAGTTGTGTTTTGTTGCTAGGTTAGGTTAGTTGTCTTTTGTTGCTAGGTTAGTTATCTGTAGCTGCTAGGTTAGTTGTTTTTTGTGTCTTTTGTTGCTAGATTATTTCTTTCTTGCTGCTAGGTTTTTTTTTTCAACGCCCCGGGAGGGCGGGGGATTTGGCTGGATCCCCAACCTGTGCATAGATCAGAGCCCCAAAAACGGGAGCCCAAATATCAACGAGCCAGATACAACAATCTACAGAGTCTCACTAAGCAAAAACAAAAACAAAAAAAAAAGAAAAGCCGAAAAACGAAAAAGAAACAAAAATTACTAAACAAAGTCGATCTTCAGGCTAACAGATGCCCGGAATAAATGTTTATACTAATGAAAACAGAAATCCTAATCTACCGAAAGCGGAAAGATGGATATCCAAGCTGGTCCATCCGTACAAGAGTGCGAAGGCGGAGTAGAGCAGTGTCGGTATGAAATGTATATGTGTCTGGTATGGTGGCGCCAAGGCCGGCCAGGTAGTCAGCAGGTCTGTTCCTCTCACGGAAGATGTGCGTGATCCTGTGATGGACTGACCGAAGTAGATCTCTGATGTGCATAAGTGGGTGCTGAATCTGCCACGAGCCCTGATGGCCCGAGGTCAAGAGGGTGGCGACAGCTGCAGCATCCAGCTCGATCCATATATGACTATAGAGATGGACAGCAATCTGAAGGCCAATCTGTAGTGCCTGAATCTCTGCGTCGTAGCTCGAGGAGGCCTGAAGTGGCGCGTGGAAGGCGGTGATGAGGGCGCCGCTGTGGTCCCGGATCAAACCTCCTCCTCCGGCAGCTCCAGTGTGGCGATCAAAGGAGCCATCAGTGTTCAGCTTGACCCACGGTGAGTCAGGTCGAAGCCAAACAACAGCTCTGGCCCGAGGAGGCCGAACAGGCAGTGGTGGGGCTACCATGTATCGATGTGGTGGCGTGCAGTCTGTCCAGTCTCGGGCCGTGAGCCTGCCCAATGCGATAAGGAGTGAAATGTGCCTCCTGCTAGGTTAGTTGTCTGATGCTGCTAGGTTAGTTGTCTTTTGTTGCTAGATTGTGTTTTGTTGCTAGGTTAGTTGTCTGATGCTGCTAAGTTAGTTGCATTTTTTTTTTATAAAAAAATTGTAACCCATAGGATTTGAACCTGGTACCTCATGGAAGCAAGACAAGCGATGCAACCACTACACCACTCAAGGTTGAGTGTCTTTTGTTGCTAGGTTATTTATTTCTTGCTGCTAGGTTATTTGTCAACGGGTCAACGCCGGAAGTCAACGCCGGAAGTCAACGGTCAATGCCGGAGTCAACGGTCAACGCCAGAGTCAACTAATAATTATTTTATTATTTAATTAATGTATATTTTAATTAATTTTGATCTAGACAAAATGAGTGACTAAGATTGAGTCTCACGTACTCATTTTAAGGAGTGGTCTCATTAGATCCGTCCCTAAAATTATATATATATAGTGTAAGAATATTGGTTTGGCATCATCCGATAAAACTGAGTGTTTTCTAGAAGATTTTCTTGTTAGGCAAGGAAAATAAAATAAAGGGAAGTTTTCTATTTATTTACTTGTTAATTAATTAAGTTTCTATTATTTATTATTAATAATATATGTTACATATTTATTATAATGTGTATTATGGAATCCTAAACCTTTAGGAGAAGGATTACATAATATATATCTTATATATTTACTTACCATATATGCCACATGCATTAATGAGCTTGATTCTATGCCATAATTAGTTTTCTCTATCTTGTAGGACAAGAAATAGGTGGCAAGGACTATGAAAGGATGAGCAATTCGTGCATAAGGAATTCTGGACGTTATCTAGAAAATCTAAGGAGGATTTGAAAAGATTCACCACAAGATCTTTGAAGATTTTGAAGATCAATTATTTTAGAAAAGTTGTGTTCTTACACGAGTCTGGAACCACGAGATTTTCATTGGAAACTCAATTATGAAGATCTCCAAATCACATACAATCAAGGAAGATTTACTTTCCATGTTACTACACTATTTTTGGGAAGAAGATCAAAGGAGATCGTGAAAGAAGGAAAGAACTTGGAGAAGACTCCAAGTCTAAGGAGTTGTATATATACCCTACTTGAAGATCGAATCAAGGCTACTGAGATCATATTATTCACATACTATTCGAGCTTCAAGTCTTCTTTTATTTTAGTTCTCAGTTCAGTTTTCGGTGTTCTTACATATCGAAGAGCTGAAGTCGTTTTGTTTTCTTTTCATTGTTTTTCAAACATTATTGTGATCAGCACTTAGGGATTAAGTGTTATTTAAAGTCCACGGGACGTGGCCGGAGAAGTAGTTGGTAGATTCGAGTATAGTTGTTGGTTAGGCTAGAAGAGAGTTCTAGTTGCTGTAATTCCAAAACTATACGCATGTGCACAATCGAGTTATCAATGAAAGAGCTCTGAGGGGAAGTGAGACACTTCCTTGAAGAGTTTTTAAATTTTCGATTTATTGCTTCCGCTATTCTAGTTGTTTATTTGTGTTCTAACAAGTTTGAACGCACTTATCATAAAATACCTACGTTTCATATAGTATATGTTGTGGATGAAAATTAAAGGAAAATCATTCTCTATAAAACATCAGTTTTAAGACTTTCACGAGTTAACACCTAATTGCGACAGAGCTTTTTGTTTTAATTTTAATTAATTAAATCTCTATAATTGACAATTTTAACTATTAATGTTTATCAACATATGAAAATTGTAATAAATTATTTGTATCATGGAACTATTCAGTGAACCTAAATACAAAAACTATTGCTTCTTTGAGTATCAATAATTTTCCACTTGCCCGATTCGTATCGACACGGAAACATGACACTACCAAGGCCCATCTGTGCTTGGTCAAATTATAGGAGACTATACTTATCAGAAGAAAAATATATTTTTGAATAATATATGAAGTCCCTATCACATAATATAAAAGTCTTAAAATGATATATAAATGCTTCAAATCCTCAATGAATTTCGTTCAATCCAAATTGCCATTCTACTACCAGAAACATATTGTAAAAAATAATTTCGAGTCCATATAAAAGTTCATATAATATTCTCTATTTTTTCCCCCTAATAAATATGTTCTTTATTTATTTAACATATATACCGTCTCTTTTATCGCTTTAGTGCAAATGGATCGAAACATGCAATTTGTACATGATGATGACGCAATCTTAATTAATTATCAAATAAACGATTGTATGTTTGACTATTAATGCCTTTTATACTTTAAAATGATAAGACATATTATAATATAATATCAAGCGCCTATAGTATAAATGATTGTGATTATTATTGAGATGGTGTATACGAGTAATGAGCCAATTGGTTAATGGATCTCAAATTCAATTCAACTATAACTCAATTTTATTATTCAATATTATCAATGTAATTAAATTATATGAATTAATCATTCTTACATATTACATCAACTTTAATTTACTATATATCAACTCACATAATTTAACTAATCATCCTTTCATACCATCTCTCTCATACTTTTACATCAAATTAACTTTAATTATTTTATTTTAATATCAACTCAAAATCACATTAACAACCAATTATATCACTTTTTCAAAATTAACCATACCAACCTAAAACATAAAATAAAATAAAATAAAAAAAATTATATTCAAGCATAGTCTTAATTAGTGCGAGGATGTCAAAATTGTCAATTAATTCGGCAACTCCGACAAATTACATCGTAAGAGCTTAGAGCATCCATTTTAACTCCATTGTACAAGAGGGAGATAAACTAGCATTTTGGCGTACGTTGATGAGCAAGTTGGTAGAATGATTCTTTATAATAATGATAATAATAAAAGAACTTATACTAGTTGCTTATTCAAACGATGATTTGAAGAAGCAATTAAAATCCTAACAAATTGTTTTTAGTAATGGAATTAACAAATCATCTATTAATTTTATAATGATCATATCATTCAAAGCCAATCAACTATAAGCTAGTAAATCAAAACTAATTCATTTGGTGAAGAATATAACTTATGAATTGAACTAGTTTTTTAATTAAACCTCACCTAATGTGTCATGTTGGACAAGGATCTTTCCTCTCATCTAATAATTATGTTTTTTTGTCTAATTTTATATAACTACCCAATATTATAAAAATATAATATAATAAATGAACGGTAGGTTTGGGGCTAGGGACAATTAGTTAGGTCATATATATTTTAAGCAATCTCAATTGAATATTAAATATTTCATTTTTAATAAATCTAAAAATAAGAAGAATGGAAACTCTTGATCAATAAGAAAAAATAACAAAACCTATGAAGAATAAGAAGAAAAACAAGATCAAAATGGAAATTCTTGATCAATTTGCTAAACCCGTATAAAGGTTACAAATTTGCAATGGCACATGGGATTTGATTTTGTTTTCATTTTTAAAACTCATAGTTAAATAATAATACGTCATTGTTGCATTAACTAATGCTGTTTCTTTTTTAATAATACAATTATTAGCTGGCATGCATTACCCCTCCCGGCTCGTGAGCTGTCCAAAATTGGGACGTAGCTAATATAATAGCTTCCACGTCTGAACACGTGGACGTTTTAAACCCTAACAACAATTCAAGTGATACAATTAATCCATAAAAAAAAATATAATTATGAGAGTTGCTATAGCTTATCAACCTGATCGGATTTCCTCTTTATCATATTTTTATCAGGCTTCAAATTATAAAATATATGTATTTATGGATTTATAAAACGTACACGAAATTGCGCTGCANTCCAATTGAAATCAGGGTTTGAAACAAACCATAAGTCAATTTGAAATTAAAAGACTGCATATGTAGATTATGTTTAATCGAAACGTTAGGTGATAGGTGATACATTAACTGATAATTTATAAGTTAATTTCTAAATGATAGATGATAAGTTAATTTCAAAGTAATAATTGAATAGCTAATTGATGCAATAAAATTTGTAGTAAAAATTAGTAAAACCAAAAAAAAAAAAAAAATAATAATAATAATCTATACATACATTTTTTTGGTATGGGAAGTCTTTGTCCTTTTCTTTATTTAGTTTAAATTTCAATTCTGTGAAACGAGATAAGGAAGTTATGTTTGTCAGAAAATGTGATAATGTTTGAAATGCGTGCCTTTGCTCTTATCTTCGCATTCAGCTCATATCTAACATCATCTTCTCCTTTTCCTTTTCTAACCTTATATTTCATGCATATATATAATTTTCACACACACACACACATGTATATATTTGATTTTTATATCAATCATTAAAGCTTGTATATGCTATATATTGTTAAACTTCTATATTTAACAAACTCTTATTAAATTAACTTCTATATTACCTTCTTATATATCTTGTTGGGTTTAACGAAGGGAAAGGGGAAAGTTCGAATTGGACTGGGCTTATTACTGGGCTTTTCCATCCTTTCAAAAGATCTTCTTGGATGAGGGCCCTAGTTGGGCTTTACACGATATCTTAATAGCTTTGGGCCGTTTGGCACACGAATTGGGAAGAATTTGCTGCACGCAACTATGCTGGAAGAAGCCCATTGGTCTACAATTACATTAGCAGATTTTTTATTTCCTTGATGTGTAAATTTCAAACAAATCTTATTAATCATATTGCCTACATTGCTCATCCTTCAAGGATGACCTAAAACCTAGGTGTTATTTGAGTCGACCCAACTAATTCATATACTCATGTAAAAAACTTAAAATTGTAAATGAGCTATTCGTGAGCATGAAATATTCATTCGCAAACAAGTTTAGTTCGTCTATTTTGATTTAAACCTATTAAAAGAAAAAAAAAATTATTCCGTAACAAGCTCATCTTAACTCATTTAATAAACGAGCTACACTTATTTAATTATACAAACGAGTAAAATTAAATTGTGTTCACGAACAATGGGTGGAATAACACTTCCACAAGTAGCACACAGTTTGAAATTTTGTAGAGGAATGTTATTATAATTATTCATAAAAGTCTACAGTCCAGGTGTGTTTGATTGGATTATGCAAAACATTCGGACTTTTATTCTTCTCCAACTTCAACATCATTATCTTGTAATTATTGGAATATTAATTAATTTCTTAAACAAGTAATCGATGAAAGAATCATAGAAATATGTGACTTATCTAACAAGTCAGCTAGCTGTGTGCTTTGAAAATTCAGTTCTGAATAGACATGGCCAAATGGCTGAACCGGCCCGGCCCGGCCCGGCGGGCCGAAGGGTTGGATGTTGTCGATCTTGAACCGGTACGCTCTAAACCCGTGCCGGGCCCATGACCCGGCGGGCCGGGCCGGGCCAATGACTCGGCCCGACCCGGGTCTGACCTGGAAAATTTAGAAAAAAAGAAAAAAAATAGAAAAATTCAAAAACAATTGATTTTTTCCGTGTCGAACCGGACTCGGCCCGGCCCGCCGGGTCGGTGTCGAAAAAAAGACGACCCTGAACCGGCCCGGTTGAAAATCCGAACCGGGCCCGGACCCGTGGTCAACGGGTTTGACCGGGCCGGGTTCGTGTCGGGTCGGCGGGCCGGTTGACCCGTGGCAATGACTAGTTCTGACACTTTTTATTATGGTACTAGAAAACACCCACAAATAAGAGGATATATATAAAAAATTACTAATGATTAACAAAACATCAAAGGTGCTCACTTTTTACTAATAGGTATAGCCTCGTTAAAATATAGTGCTATATTAAGAAATAATTCGTGTTAACTAATAAAAAATAGTACAAATACCAACTCTTTATTAAAATATCAAATTTTATTCACATGACTTCAGTTTATTAATGTGTGAATAGAAAATAAATGATAAACTTAAAATAGACTGAAATAAAGTTATAAATTTAACTAAACCCACAAATTCTTAAATTACAATGAATTTACTCATTAATAACAAAATAAAACATGTCAAAATAAAACAAATACATATTTCAAAATCAGGAAACTTAAACAAGCCCATAGACTTGTTTTGCCCATAGGTTTGCTAAGGAAAATATATTTTTGCAGGATCACATCCTTGTCACTGGCACACACTTTCCAAATTGGGATAATGTAAAAATTCATATTCACTATCTATATTGTTTATTGAGACCTTTTGGATTCAGGATAAGATGCTTTTCACCAAGCTATATTGATTAATGATTACATCTTGGACCATGTCTAATTTAGAAACCATACTTTGGCATATTGATTTCATGTTTATTTTATTACATATTTCATGGTTAGACATTTATTTAAAAGAAACATGTTATGTTTAAGTTAAATAAGATTAATGTTAACTTATATAGATAAATAAACACATTTTCACTATATTTACGACTACAACTTCATTCTATATCTGATTGGATGTAATGTATATTTTGGTACGTCTTTTATTTGTGAATTATTTATTATTTATTTAGGAATTTTAAATATATTTTTTATTTTCAAAAAAAAAAAAAATTAAATGTAACAACAATAATAACATCTAATTACATTATACGGTCAACATATTATATAGTCAACTGTTATTAATCAAAAGTTTAAAATGATTTTTGTAATTTTGAAGTGATGAGTATTAATTATTTAATGATTAAATAAAAGATTAAATACATCAAAATGTAACGATTTTTGGAAGAAAAATTGTTAAATTGCCACATAGGTAAAATTAAATAGGTTTTATTAAATTTTATTAGCTAGTAATTATATATATATAGATTATTATCATAGGTCTTAAATGAAACAATCGAACTACGTTTATTTATTTCGAACAATTTATTTTAAGTGTCTAGTTTATTAGACCATGTACAATGGTTGTCTTAATAAGCAATTGCTTATAATATTTTAGTATTATTTTGGTGGGACCCTGTGCCATTAAGCAATTCTATGATTTAAGCAATTCAATCCCACAATGGTGAATTGCTTATTAAGCAACTCATGCGGGTCCCATATATACCCCACAAATTTACTATTTAAAGCAACTTGTAATAAATTTCTCATCCTCTCTCTCATGTCTTGCACCATTTTTTGGTTCATTGGCCCACAAATTCTAATTGCTTGTGGATTGCTTATTCAAGCAATTGCTTAACCTAAGCAATTGCTTGTCTTCTCTTCACAATGGGAAATTGGTTAAATAGCAATTGCTTATTTTTAAGCAATCAGTTAAGCAACCCATTGTAGATGGTCTTAAACAAGGTGAGCCTAATCGAGCTTTCAGAAACAGCTCAACTGCTCAAGTTTCCTCCCAACTCATTCCTAACTAATTTTAGGTATTAAAATTGAAAAACAAACCAGAAAAAGAAAAAAAAAAACAAAATAAAGAAAAAAAGCCTGCAAGTCTGCAACGAGATAAGACTTCAAAATACGAGAAGAAAAAAGTAAAATATAATAACAATCCTTATCCAAACATGACGCCACGTCGTCTCCATCCCAAAAACTCTTCAATAAACCCTTATTTATTACAATAAACCCGAAAAAGGCCAATATAAATAACCCAACCAAATCATTACCCCAACTCCATTTTATTTTCACTGCAAATTTCAAGAAATCAGTTTAAAAAGAAAATAAAAGAAAAAAATGCTGGCTATATTTCACAAGGCGTTTGCCCACCCGCCGGAGGAGCTCAACAGCCCCGCTTCTCACCGGTGCTCGAAAAAGCCGAAGCTTCCGGCGGAGACCCTCGCCGAGTTTCTGAGCTCCCACCCGGAAAACGCGTCATCGATGTCGTTTGCAGACGCGGCCGTGCTCGCGTATGTCCGGCCCGACGGCCGGTCTCTGCTCCACCAGAAACAGAGGTATAGCGTTTTGGCTTGATAAAAATGAGATATTTATGTAAAAATGAAGGAAAAGATCCAGTCTTTTTTGGATCTGCCTCGCTACTTTTACTTGGGTTTTATAATTTATGTGTAGATTGTGTAGATTTCTCTTTATATTAGTAGATTATTTGATTTGAAATTA